GGATGAGAGAGAGACAGGAGTGTGTATGTATGTGTGTATGCATGGATGTGTGTGTGTGTGTGTGTGTATGTGAGTGTGCGCGCGTGCGTGTGTATCTATGTATGTGTGTGTACTCATGTGAACGCGGGATTGAATGGCGATTTTCGTTTGCACGGTTGCTCGATTCCCATAGCTGGGTAGGTTTTTATTTGTGGGAACGGTGTACTGTCAGAGCGATAACCTAGATTGTATTTAAAGAGGCGTAAAACTGGAACTGCGCAGACCCGGAACGTCTATTTACCTGGTTCTGTCTGCCACCTGCAGGGTTATTGGAAATTATTGGACTGTTTTCTTGTGCCACGCCGGCTCCGAGAGAGGGAGGGTAGTAGGGGGGGGAAGGGGTTGAAATTCGAGGGAAGAAGGGATGGATAGGGGGGTAAAGAGATAGATGGGAAGAGTATAATGTGAGGGTGGGTGGTGGGAATAGAGGGTTGAGAGAGGATGGGGGGGGGGGTGTCCGTTGAGATGGAGGGAAAGAGAGGTGGGGGGGGGCGGTAATAAAGTGATAGAGATTGAGGTGAGTGTATCATGTGTGTGTATGTGTGTGTGCATGTGTGTGTGTGTGTGTGTGTGTATGTGTAAAAGAGAGATGGAAAGAGAGAGAGGGGGGGAGAGAGAGAGAGAAGGAAAGGGGTAGAGATTGAGGTAAGCGACTGCTTTTGTGTGTGTGTGAGAGAGAGAAAGACTATGTATGAGAGAGCGAAGGGAGGGGGGTGGGGGCAGATTATTCGTGGGAGAGAGAGAGAGAAAGAGAGAGAGACAGATACCTGGGCAGTCGTATATACTATGTATATGAAAATAATTTTGTGTGTGCGTAAATGTCTGTGTCTCTGTATATATGTCTGTGCGCTTGTGTGTGTGCATGTGTGCGTGAGTACACCCGTGTAGGACCGGTGCCGAGGAGGCGGACATTCTGTCCTGGTTCCCAGTTCCCAGACCAGTTTGATGATCTACCTAGCAAGCCAAAGTCGCCGTGTGAGCTACCCTCCCCTCCCCTCTCCCCTCTCCCCGGGCCACCAGTCTCCACACCCAAGCGCTGTCGGTGTTCGTGTCTTGGCCTATACATCTATGGATACCTGTCTGACAATTCGGTGAGCGAAACGAACACCACCCCCGCAAAAAAAATGGATACCTTTGTCCGATAATTCGGATAGCGAAACAAACGCCCAAAAAAAAATGGAAACCTCTGTCTAACAATTCGGTAAACGAAAAAAAACCCAAAAAACGTGTGATGTGAACCTGCTCCCATTGTGGTGCTGTGTGAGGAACTTTCGGTTTTCGATGTCGTACATAGGTATAGATGTACAGATTCCTTGTTTTTTCGGAGTTTCGATGTTCTGATTTTTCCGAAGAACTGCTGGGGTAATGAATGATTGCGTGTTCTCTTATCTCCGCTCTTCTTATCTATCTGGTCGGCAAGCTGTTAAAACGTCATAATCCTGAGAGAGCAAAATTGTGTCAGGAGGGAGAGAACAAACTGTTTCATTCTTTTAACGATTCTTTTAATATTTGTTCCAAATGTTTGTTGTTTGTTTTGTGTTGTTGTGTTGTTGTTTTTTGTAACATGAAGTGTTTGAATCTCGACAAAAATATCCCTCTATCACGTGCTATCGATCTGCATATTAAGAAACTGGATTTTTTGTTTTTAATTCAACATCTTGGGCTTGGTACAATTAGTACATTTTAATAACTGGCCGACATAATACTGGATGTGTCACCGGGGTCTGTTGTGTATCGGTTGGGTTCTTCGCGTCGCACGCAGATGACGTGAGTTCGATTCCCGTGTGGTGAGGATTATTTTTTTTCAGTGTCTCGGGGTGGTTTTGCTGGGATGTTGTATTCCGTTTCAGCCCGGGCTCGCCCTGACGGGCATGGTCGAAGCCCACCTCCTAAAATGATCTAATAAGTGTGTCGATAATGCGCACCAGCAAAAATTACCTACTTTGTAACTGTGCACTAACGATTTACTTATTTTTAGTATCAAGTAATTCGAGGTTTGTTTGTTTTTTAAATTACGGGGCGTGT